AGCTCAGCACCTTAACTACCAGAAATCCCAGCAGTTTTAACTGATCAAAACCTTCAACTCCCTCCCCTATTTCCCATGAACCTCTGCTTAGGGGTGGAGTTTGAAAAGTACCAGCTTCTACTATGCAGTTTACCTCAGAGAACCTAGAAATGGAGCTACAAAGCCCCACCTTCTACCATCAAGTTGACTTTGAGAGCCACACACTGGTTTGGGGGTTCCTCCTCCTGTTTCTTTTGTAGAGTCAAACAGACTTCCTGAGGAGTTGATACCTAAATTGCATTCTAGGCAAGTCTGAATTAACTAGACTAAGGGGGAGTGTAGGCAGAGGACATGGGAAAGAGAATGTTCCAGAATGAGTATAGTGTTTTCACACTAAAGATTGAGTCATTTGCTTCTGACTAATCCAACTAAAACCAGACTTAATTGTTCTAAACTTTTAGAGAAGCATATTAGGTCTTTTCATGTTGTTGGCACTTGTCTGATAATGTGTAATACCGAGGTATAGATGGCTTTTTTTTTGGTTTCCAATGTGTGACAGACTGCTTTCTTGATGCCTATTTTACTTGGAAAACTAGAGTAATAAGTAGTCTGAAGATATTGTTGTTTGAGTTGTGTCAGCATCTATCACTGTTACATGAGTTAAGCATGAATTTAAAACCTTGATGGTTTAGCTGCTACTGTTTGTGAGTCTACATGCTACTTTTTTTGTCCTTTATACTTAAATCTTTTCAGTAAGTAAGCTTCTATGTCCGTAGAATTTTTTTCTGTTTTCTATGGGATTCCAGGTATTTTTTTTATAACAGTTTATTTTTACATCATTTTGTACATTTTTTTTCCATCTCAATTGTAATCCCCACGGGTTTCCCATCACCAAGTCACCCGTGTGCCATCACCAAAATCCCATGCACTTCCCCCCCCCTTTTGATCCCATTCCCCACTCCACCCCCGCAAAATGTCTCTGGTATATGGTTGTTCATTATTTTTGTAATTTTCTCGCCGGGATTCCAGATACTTTTTAAAATTATCATTTGGGGGAAGAGAAAACCAGTGAATGAACTGATATTTGGAGATAAAAATGGATAAGTTCACTAGCTTATGATATGGGAGCTTAAAAGTATTAGTTGAGTTGTTTTTTGTTTTTTTGGTTTTTTTTGATATTTTTAGAATACTTTTTATGATGGGATTTTAAAAACTTGAAAGACCATTGGCTTTTATCTGGTAACTTTTTTCAGAATATTTGAAGTAACATTTTTCTTTGATTCAAATTCAACTCAAAAAAATTATTTCCTTAAAACTTTTAATATGTAACAATTCATATTCTGTTACATTGAGAGTCATCATAGGAGATAACTTAATATAAAAATGATTGATAAACTACTTTGCTAATTTATTTTCAACAAAAATCACCCCTAAGATCTGTTAAAATACTATACATTTAATACCTCCTTCTAGTACCTGTTATATTTAAAAAAGCAAAAGAGAATTTTCATATATTAAAAAGTGAAACCTTAACATCAGAATATAGTTCTTGCATTCTTATTGTGACTCTTGCCCCTCCCAGCAGATTGTCATGATCAAATCACTAAATACTGACTTGTCTTTTTGTTTAAGTAAATAGAATTAAGATGTCTTTGAACATTCCTGCAAACTATAAAGCATTTCAAATATAATTGCCATTATTCTCATAGAATTTGTCTTCAAACTTTCATATATCTTATAACTCACTGAACAAGATTCCCAGTAGATCAGTTATTGTTTATACTTAGTTACCTTTGGTTATATAGATTTAGGCTGTTCACTGCTCAGTATCTCGCTGGCATGTGAAATACTGAACAGCGAACAGCGTAAATCTATATGCACATCACTTCCTAAAACCAAAGGGAGATCAAAATACTGAAAAGTCTTAGGAAGCTGAGACAAGAGCTGAAGCATGCAAGAAACCTAGGGAATAGGAATGGTGTAAGGTTTTTGTTTTAGGGCAGGAAACCTAGGGAATAGGAATGGTGTAAGGCTATTGACTGACCTCTT